GCATAGATAGGCGATTTGTCCCTAGCCAGCGAGAGTAGATGTTAGGGCAATTCGTGAACCAATTGAACCTGACCTTAATGCTTGTCATCAATGTCTAATCCAAACGATAGTTTAGGTATTAGGATTGTTTGATAAATTGATAGACACCACGACAGTGGGTTTATTTAACCTTGTTGTTCAAGTTCTAGATTGGCTCTTAATACTTTCCTGAATAGTTGTGTAGTTCATGATCCTAAGTATCCCGATGAATCATCCTAAACCTAGCTCTTTTATAATCTGAAACCAAACCAACTTGTTACTTGCTTTTTACGTTTTCTTTATTTTAAAACCCCATATTGTTTTAGCTTAATATTGATCCTATAATAATAAAGTGTAAAATTTGGTCTCTGTGGATTCAATCCTCAAGTATTACATCGAACCTCTTATTTGAGAGAGTAGCTTGAAGGTTAATTTGAGCATATCATATGTGTATTTGTTACTTATAGTTACTTGTAAAGATAGCCAGTCATGTCAAATGAAGTGGAAGAACAGTCTAGAAGTAGCCAAAGAAACATCATCACACATACACGCAAAGAAAATTCTCAGGCTTTGAGGAACTAGAGATATACATAGAGACATTGATCGAAGGTTATTGCTATTTCTCCACTTGATTTTCTCTGTTTTGATCATGATAAGAGGGTTAATATCAGCTTATATGTTGTATTGAGTTTTGGTCAGATGATTGTGTGTATTATAATGGTTTTGACTTTTTATTCACTGTTTTCTGTTTCTCTACGGTTTCATATTGTTTGTGCATAACGAATTCGTTTTAATATTTACGTGGGCATAACATTAAAATATTCCTATTGTTATGCCCACATTGCCAAAGAGTGCATGTTGGAAAATGTTCGTATAGAGACACTTTGGGCATAATGAATTTTACGTGGGGCATAACGAGTTTGTTTTAATATTCTTACTAGATTTCGACCCGCACAACCGTGCGGGTATATTAATACGATAATATTTGAAATTATATAATAAAATTTATCAATAAATAAATATAATTTGATCATGTATGTTATCCAATTTTATAATAATTTTTATGTGACTTATAATATTATTAATAGAAAATTTATAAATTTTTATTTTTTGTAACAATTTTTAAAAACATTATTATGTAACATTACTAATTTATATATTTTGTTTTATTTCTAAATTCAAAATATATGTAAAAAGTAAATTAAGCTGGACCTACATAATACATAAACAAAGTTTTGGGATATTGTTAAAAGTATTTTACATAATTTTTATTTTTATTTATAAATAAAAAATGAATTAAAAAATTAATTATATTTTATGATAATTTAAAATTTTAATCAAATAATTTTTGAAACTATATCTTGAAAAGATTTTAAAAGATTTTGTTAGAATTTTCTTAAAACTATTTATTTGTATTTCATATGAAAAAATATTATAATGTTATGTAAAATTTTATAAAATTCTAAGGATGGTCCAAACTAAAATATTATACATGAAATGAGTGATGACTTCTCTTTTAATATAATAGATATTCGAAATTATATAATAAAATTTATGAATAAATAAGTATAATTTGATTCTGTATTCTATCCAAATTTATAATAATTTTATATGACTTATAATATTATTAATATAAAATTTATAAATTTATATTTTTGTAACAATTTTTAAAAACATTATTATGTAAGATTACTAAATTATATATATTTTTTTATTTCTAAATTTGAAATCTATGTAAAAATTAATTAAATTGGACTTACATAATACCTAAACCAAATTTTTGGATATTGTTAAAAGTATTTTACAAAATTTTATTTTTTTGTTTATAAATTAAAAAGGAATTAAAATTTTAATTATATTTTATGATAGTTAAAATTTTAATCAAATAATTTTTGAAACTATATCTTGAAAAAGATTCTAAAAGATTTTGTTAGAATTTTATTAAAACTATTTATTTGTATTTCAAACAAAAATTAAAGATATGAAAAGATATTATAATATTATATAAAATTTTATAAACTCTAAAGATGGTCTAAACTAAAATATCACACATGAAGTGGGTCATGACTTCTGTTTTAATATATAAGATTGTTTTGTTCTCTTTGGTATTTTCCAATAACATTTTTTCTACTTACTGTTGATATGTTGAGACCATAACCTTAAAACAAATAAAATAGCTCAAATCCCCTATATATTATTTGCGAAGTGATTCACCAAATATCCTCTTTACAATCATTTTTATAAAAAAATGATGACATAACTATTAAGATTAATGATATGAATTATAGTTAAATATGACATAGAAATTATATTTATTGCTGATATATTTTTTTGGTAAATTTTATAGAATATGGCAGTAACTAACTGATACATTACATTTAATATTGATTTATAAATCAAATCATCACTAAAAATAAATATATTCAAATATGCATTATAAATTTCGAAATTTTATTTAATTTTACTTTTGTAATTATAAAATTTTATTATTAATATTTGCAAAATTTTCTACATTTTTTTTTAAAGATTAATAAAATTTTAATCGTAATATCATTAGTTTCTTTTAGACATCGAAATTTTTTATAAATATTGTTTAGTTATAGTTTTTAATTACTATACAATTTTTAATAACTATACAATTTAGAATGATTTTTTTCAAAATTAATAAAAAATTTATATGAATTTTTAACTAAATTTTACTCTATATAGTTACATCTCATTGTAGTTTTTCGTGTGTGTTACTTGAATCAATACGATGGAAAGTACATTTATAAGAATAATAGGGAGTTTTCTCATTCCAAAGTTAAGCAAGCTATGCCTTTGTTTTAGTACTTAGCCTTTTGGATACTGTTGGGCCCGAATCTAGCCCGTTAGCTGAAATACTGGGCTCGAATGGTGAAAGTCGTTAACAGGACATTATAAGCCCATTAACAATTTATCCCTCGAAGAAGAACTGAATAAAGTCGGAGCCTGTACGTTAAGGTCACGGAAAAAGCTCCGGACCTCGTTTACAAACAGCTAACGAGAAACAGCTCAAGTTGGACACGCGAGACCTGGTCAAAAGGAGGCTGTTGCAAATCCCACAACTTACGGAGGCAATCTCGGAGGTTCATCGGGAGAAGTTAAACGTGACCTAGGGCTATTTAAAGAAGAGGGAGACAAAGAAGATATGGCATTCGTTTTTCAATCAATTTTCACATATATTGTAACTCACAAATCACTCAGCGATTTTCTTTGTATTCATCAGAATCATCTTTGTAACCCTTATTCATCAAATACAATCTTATTCATTCTTTAAGTTCTAACAGGATTCAGCCCACGATTGTCTTTTCCCCAATTTAAACCTAACCTAAACTAGAGAATGAGTTTTACCCCTCACATTTTGGCGCCGTCTGTGGGGACGAGATAATTGAATCCTTCACTCCGTAACTCGAGAATGGATCCATCCAACCAGGCAACGAGCCCATCCATCCCTGATCCCGTGATCCAAATCGACGGCTCACCGAACAGGAGAGACCCAGATCCCCATAATCCGGAACCTCGATCCACCGATCACCGATCCGAGCAACAGCCTCCGGCTAATGCTCCATCGAACCAAACTGGAATAACTAACCCAAGATCTTCCAGTGGGAACAACTCGGGGGTTACACACCCCGAAAACCCTCAGCGTCAACCCGCTCCGAATCACTCGGAAGCTCAGCTA